CTTTACTTTTGTTATAAATTCTCTGTAACCCCTTGTTTGGGATGAATTGCTTAAAAAAGCCTTGTGAGGAAAACTGTTCTAATTTGAAACACTTTTGATGCCCAAATCCCTCAAAATCAGACCCATCGGGTTTTTACGTATCTATTTTGTACTGTTTTAATTTCCTCGAATCGTTTGAAGTTTTCAAACTGGATACTTTGTATCAACAAACGCAGGAATATAAAACAACCTCACAGCATAGGAATTATCGCCCTACTTTTCTGGCAGAAGAAAAAAACTAAAAAAATTACATAATTTATACAATAGTTAGACGTTTGTTTTAACATTAATGACATATTTTGTGCACTCCCTTTATTAATATTTTTAAATCAATTTCGGTAAATTTCCTGTCTTTGAGATAAAAGATGTTTAATTACGCTGACTCCTAAAGAACAAATATTACGGACATATCAAATACATTCTGTAAACAATTGTTATCAAGGTCTGCTGAATTTGTGTTTTATTATCTATTCTGCTGAGTGATTTTCAATTTTCCTGTTTCAGATAAGCTGAGTAAAGATTTCTGAGAATGTCTACTTATGTATAATACGCCGCTGTTTGCCTTTAATTTTCATTCAAAATTTTACACAGGAAAATACGATATATTCGAGTTTACTGCTTAATTGATTTTCCCCAACACCAACATCTATGCAAAAAAAAAAAAAATAAATAAAAAAATAAATAAATAAATAAAAGCGCCAGAATATATGAAGTGATTAGATTTTGAATGAAACTTTTGTGTTTTTAATTATTCTGTGGATTTTATATACTAATGTTATGTTTTAATACAAGCTTTTATTTTCCTATTGCATAATATATTGGTATCAAATTTACTATAAAATTCATTAGTAACGGTTCTACTTTTAGCTCCTGAAATAGTTTTTATGTTTTTTTAAGGTACGTGATTCATTCAATGCGTTAATTAAATAAAATCAAATTCGGAAGATGGAGTTAATGTTGATTGCTGAAAGAAAGTAAACAAAAAAATCGAGAAACATGTTGAAAAATTTTGGTTGTTTTTGTTTACATATCAACACCTCTATGTTCTATTTAATAGCAAAACCTAAAGATTTTATACGCGTTTTTTTTTTTTTTTAGATAATAATGGTTTTAGCGACGCAAGTCTTACTAATTAACCCATAGAGGAGAGGTGGATTTATATCCTTCCCAATGATATTTACGCGTAAGAAAATATAACGAACCCAACTGGAATTGGAACTCGGCTCTCCGATTAGCAATTCTGAACTATTATCTATTACTCCACCCGCACGTCCAATCTTACAGCACCTGTTATTCCCAAGCGGTTACCCATCTAGGTACTGACCAGATCGAAGATCGGCTTATAGACGAGTATATACGCTATCCATCCGTTATCGTGGTCAGTTCGTTTTTCACCGGGTGCTTTAATATTTTATCCCTGTTCCAGGCTAAGTTAAGCATCATACTTATTATAAAACCCAGGTTGTGTGTGTGTGTGTGTGTGTGTGTTCGTTTATATATTGGATCGGATTTCCTACATTTTTCAACCGATTTCAGCAAAACTTCACAGTTTCGAACTACGTAAAATTACCTTGCGGTAGTTCTGAGAGCGCCAGAAATGGGAAAAACACAATTGTTTTTGCACGAAATCAATTTGAAAACACGATTAAGAGGCGAGAATGAAAGGGGGCACAACTCATATCGAGTTATACTTATAAAACCCAGGTTGCTTCTGTGTGTGTTTCTGTGTTCGTTTATATATGGGATCGGATTTCTTACATTTTTCAACCGATTTCAACAAAACTTCACTTTTTTTTGGCAGGTAGTGTTTCTTATTGTCTTGCACACTTTTTTCTTTATTTTTACATTCAGAATGCTTTAAAAATTCCATTTACAAGGCAATTGTTTATAATAAAATTCTATTCAATCGGTAGACTCATAGCGATTGAAAACAATGCTTTTGTTTGAGTTTGGGTTTGACCAATTCGTAAAAAAAAAAAACAAACAAAAAAAAAATAATTAAGACATGCGTGCCCGTCAACCTTAAACAATAATCTTTGTCAATTTTACTTTTCAGTCTTTATGATGGTCGATATCTATGATCTATTTCTTACTGTTACATCCTCGGGCAACACCGGGCTCTACTGCTAGTAGTAAATATATCCGCATGTCGTTTTAAAGCAGGTAAATGCATCTTAAATACTGCATAGCCCTATATAATACGTCTTTCGCATCATTGAAAATATTGACACGGCCCTCAAAATTTATTTCCTCAACAAAGGCGACAGGTAATGTCGCCTTTGTTTTTTTTATCTCCTTAAATCTCTATAACCCTTAATAGTTTTCTCCGTTAGCTTTTATGCCCCTTGTAACACGTGCGATCCAATAATGTATGCCACGTGTACTGCATACTTGATGGCGATTAGACATTGACCTTTTTCTTATCTTGTGCGGACGCTAAACCTGGACAAACGGTCGCCGTGTTTTTATAACAAAATGTCGTGAGGCAAAACTCATACATCTGCAAAAGTCGCAGAAAAAGGGGAAAAAATAAAACAGATCACACACACACACGTATATATATATATATATATATATATATATATATATATGGCGTAACTGTGTTAAAGAAAAGAATTCGGCGCGCTGAGTTGAATTTCCCGCTCGATTTTGTATCGCTAGTTAAGCTGATATCTTAAAAGTCTGGTGCATTGTTTTTGTGCTAACATGCAACTAAAACAGAATAAAACAGGGTAGAATAATTGTTTGATAATAAAGAGTATTAAATTTAACTTAGAACCATTGCATAATCTAAAGACTGTTATAAAATGCCAAGCTCCTTCGAAAATAACCAAAGAGTTACAGAAATGGAAATAAATATAGCTTGCAAATTTCAGGTATTAGTCAAATGGTGTAATTCATTACATTATATATAAAAAAGATCGATAATGAATTCAGTTTAAAAGTAATTTCAAACTAGTTATTCTCAGCGCCTAGTTATATGCAAAATTTGAAAAATCAGTTTCTGAATGTGGAAATAAGCCTAACACACACACACACACACAAACATATATATATGTGAAAAGTGTGTGTATATAAATTTAAATAAATATATATATGTGTAATTATTTATATATTATATGCGCGGTACTTATTAGAAAGCGCTCAATATCAGAGATAGAGCTAACATATTTGGTTGGATAGATGTGAGTTTGTGACCCTGGGTTTCACGCTCAGTTTGTCTGGCGATCGCTAAAGCGTGAAACCCAGGGTCACAAACTCACATCTATCCAATTAAATATATATATATATATATATATATATATATATATATATATATGGATACAATTTATGGCACTTTACAACACACGCAGAGAGAATGATCAAAGCTAATCCCCAGACATCGTGATCAAAGACCACAAGAACAGAATGTACTTTCTTATTGACATGACAGTCCCTACAGATTGTAATGTATATTTGAAGATCTTGGAAAAACTATCAAAATACAAGGATCTTGAAGTGGAACTCTAAAACTCTAGCACATGAGGACATCAATAATTCCAGTTGTAGTTGGAGCTCTCAATTCGAAAATGTTCCGATAGACCCATTAAAGGGATTCCTGGTTGTTCATACCTTAAAAAAATACAAAAAAATTCTACTCACAGATGCAGCTCACACATTACAAAGAGCTTTATCTATGTAAAAGATGTGTGAAAAGAAAAAAAACAGCGTTAACAATATTTCGACAGTATGTCTGTCTGTCTTTAAGTTAAAATGTAAATATAACTTGAAGACAGACAGATATACTGTCCAAATATTGTTTAACATTCTGAAACACTGTTTTTTCTTTTCTTAAATAGCGCTATTCTCTTAAGTGATAATATTATTAATAATAATATTGATGAAGAAAGCAAAAAAAAAAAAACAAACAAAAAAAAAAAAACACCAAAAAAGCTGCTTAATCTTTTAGAATGGTTTGCCAATTATATTACTGACTAAACACAGTCTTGCGAAAGATCGTGACAGTAGCACAGCGGTAAGAATCGAACTTGTACCTACTTTCTAAGATTAAGCAGCTGGCAGACGCTCTGCGATACACGATTTTTGAAGTACAGTGTAACCCGGATATAAGAGAGTTGTCGGGACCGGAGAAGAAGTCTCTTATATCCGGGTTTCTCTTATATCCGGGTTTGGTCTATTTTATATATATTAACACAGGCTCTAATTTGGTACCAGAGAAAATCTCTCTTATATCCGGATTTCTCTTATATCCGGGTCTCTTATATCCGGGTTACACTGTACCATCTAAACTTAGATTAATTTCGCACAATGGCAGCATGATAGTCAGGATCGAAACCACTTCTCAAGGTTGCTAACTATTGCTCTCTGTTCGGAGTCAACTCGATAATTACTGATAAAGCTTAGTTTAATTTAGCCCAACTCTAAAGTAGTGAGTCTTCCAGTAAAGACAGAACTGATTAAGTCAGTAATGGTCCGTGAGACTAGCTTGCTAAACATTGCGCTTTAGTAAGCGATCAACACTTTTTAAAATGTATGTTAGCACACGTGTGGCGCGTATACAATGTCCACAATTGCCTATTGACATTCATTGAACAAATACATTTTTGTCCTGTGAAACGGCCCTCAGCTGAGCCATTTATATTTGATTACTGCTGATGAGACAAGAGGGAGTCATATGGTTACCACAAAACGTGTGGGAGGGTGGATTCGAACCGTGCTACTTTGCTCCTCCGGCTCAGACCCCCGATTACTGGACGGGAGGCCAAGGGGAAAACAGATTAAGAATGATAATACTATTAAAATAGGTTGGATACTGTGTCGATTACCACACCTATTTCCCTTCAACTAAGATTTTTTTTATATATTTTTTCAAATGAAAGACACACGTAGACGGGCGTGTTTTATTTGTGACAATTTGAATTTCGGTAACAATAGTGACCTCTTTTTTTGTATGGGAGGACTTAGATAGGCCGATAAATTCTTGTCGACACGATCTTGGTAAGGAAAACAAAATCAAGGGCTAGTAAGGGTGTTTGTATTCGGGTAGTCGTGCAAATAGTAAGGAGTGGTTGGGACTGAGATGATTTGAAAGGAAGAAAAGAAAGAAAGAAAGAAAGAAAGAATGGAAGAAAGAAAAGGCGGAAAATGAAAAGAGAAAAGAAAGAAAATAAATACAAATATTTAAAAGAAAAATAGTAGACAGTACTTAGAAATAAGTGAATTTGAAAGAAAGAAAGAAAGAAAGAAAGAAAGAGAGAAAAAGAAATCGGGTGGAAAATCTAAAAAGAAAAGAAAAGAAATACAGATGCGAAAAGAGAAAGAATGAAGAAAAAAAGAGAGTATTGTAGAGTGGTTGGGACTGAAAGGATATGAAAAGAAAGAAAGAAAGAAAGAAAGAAAGAAAGAGAGAAAGAAAGAAAGAAAGAAAGAAAAGACGGAAATGAAAAGAGAAAAGAAAGAAAAGAAATACAAATATTTAAAAGAAAAGAAATAGCAGAGAGCACTTGGAAATAAGTGAATTTGAATGAATGTATGAAAGAAAGAAAGAAAGAAAGAAAGGAAGGAAGGAAGGAAAGAAAAAGAAAGACAAAAGAGAGAAAAAAGAAATCGTGTGGAAAATCGAAGAAGAAGAGAAAAGAAATACAAATGCGAAAGAATGAAGGAAGAAAGAGAATATTATAGAATTGTTGGGACTGAGAGGATTTGAAAGAAAGAAAGAAAGAAAGAAAGAAAGAAAGAAAGAAAGAAAGAAAGAACGAAAGGGTACGAGATACATGGAAGGAGAAAAATGCAAATGTGAAAAGGAAAAGATTGAAGGAAAGAAAAGAGGATAGTAGAGAGTGGTTGGAAATGAGAGGATCTGAAAGAAAGCAAAAAGAAAGAAAGAAAGCAAAAAATAAAGAAAGAAAAAAGGAAAAAAAGAATTCACAGATAAAAATGGAAGATGACAAATGGAAGGAGAAAAGAAAAATGTAAAAAGGAAAAGAAAGGAGGAAAGTAAAGAGAAAGAAAAGGCGAGAAAAGTAATGGCATAAAAAAACTGCAAAAGATGAAAAAATGAAAAAAGAAAATGAAAAAAAAGTGATAAAGGAAAGAAGTAAATGGAAGGAAAGGACAATAAAGAATGAAAAAGAAAATTAAAAAGATACAAGAATGAAGATGTTAAAGAATGGTATGAAAAGATGGTAAAAAGTTACAACCATATTTTATGTAACGTAATGTGAATAGAGTAACGGATTGTGGAATCGGAGAGACAAGTTCGAATTTCAGTCGAGTTCACTTTCGTGAAAAATCCCTTAAGTAAGGTATAAATCCAACTATTCTCCGCACAGTTATGGATAAATAGTAGAATATATTGTGTTCTATAGCTTTTGGTGTCAACCGGTCAAGGAGAAGGAAAACATTGAATTTCAAACCAAATTGAAGAGGGTTGAGTTCCGTCAGATTATCTTGCCTAAGATACACCACTTCTACTACGTCTGCAGTACATGTCGTACCACTACAACCCTCATGGATTACGGGACTCGAGAATGTTCTCTCTCTCTCTCTCTCTCTCTCTATATATATATATATATATATATATATATATATATATATATATATAATGTATATATATATATATATATATATAAATATATATATAGAGAGAGGAGAAATATAGTTTTAAGGTGTGCTATATTTATGGGATAAAGTGCTCAATATCGGAGATAAAGCGTATGCAAATATAAAAGTGAACGCCTGACGATTGCGCCTAGCATGAAACAGCCTCTCACCTCTGAGTGTTGTGTTGACTTCAATATTCATTATATATATATATATATATATATATATATATATATATATATATATATATATATATATATATATATATATTTAGTTTTATGCAAACTTAGGTAATCCGTATGGGTAGACCTGAGGAGGATGATATCCAGAGAGCTCAATGTAAAATTCAGAGCAGATATGTTTGAATAAAATATATATATATATATATATATATATATATATATATATATATATATATATATATATATGTGTGTGTGTGTGTGTGTGTGTGTGTACATATATAAACAGACAGACACAGATAGATAGATAGATAGATAGATAGATAGATAGATAGATAGATAGATAGATAGATAGATATCAGTTTTATGCCTCATTCGTTAGAAACAAAGAAAAGAGTGCCCAGTACTTCTACAGGACAGGGAATGTTGGACAGTTTCCTCACAAATGAAAGGGATTCTTGAGGCAACAGAAATGTTGTTCTACAGAAGTATGCTGAAAATACCATGGACGTAATATGTGAACAACAAGGAAGTTTAAACAAAATTAAAAAAAAAAGAAAAGAAAAAGACGCTTATACTTAGAATCAGAAAAGAGGCGCTGAAAATTCCGAAACACATATTGTGGAAAAAAGCTTGGGTACTTTGACAGTCACATGACATATTGAGAGCAAGACAGAAACAGCGAGTAATCTTCTTAACAAGCCTTGTATGTCACTGTAGACCATTGAGTGGGAAGGATAGCAAACATTACTAAGAACTAAAAAAGCACTAGAAGTCGAGGAGAAGCATGATCGCCTATGTCCTGAAAGAACATGATACATAAAAGATGTGCATGTTACCCTTTCACGCGCTCTGTATATAGACCACTTGGAAACTAAGAGAAGTAAGGAAAGAAGAAAACCCGACCTTGGCAGTTATTTTTCGCGATAATTAATTTAGGTTGTTGCTAGGCAACCTTGACATATTTGAGAAGGATCTAGAATAATCTAGAACCTTTACTGACAGCAAACCGCCTGCATACGGATAGGAAACGAGTTCAGAAGATATACAAAATAGAAAGGGGTGTAAGACAAGGGTATGTCTTCTCATCAGACTTATTCAACCTATTTAGCGAGGCGATTCTGAGAGAATTAGAAGTCCTACTAGAATCCATTATTGGAAGCCACAATCTTAACAACATATGATATGCAGATGACACAGTGTTGATGACAGACATGTAAAGAAAACTACAAAAAACTACAGAAGGAAAGCGAGAAGAAAGGATTAAACATTAACTGCAAGAAGACAGAATGCATGGCTGTCATCAAAATTAACAGCTCAAGATGCAAATTATAAATCGGACATACCAAAATCAAATAAGCACAAGAATTTGTTAAAGATGAAGAAGAGACTTGAAGTAACAGAAATGTGGTTCTACAGAAGGATACTAAGGATCCTATGAATACTATATGAGCAACAACGAAGTTCTAGAGAATATGGAAACAAAAAGCAAACTTATACTCAACATCAGGAAGAGACAACAAGCATTTCCAGAACACATGACGAGGAAAGAGAGATTGGGAAATTTGATACGCACAGGGCAGGTTGAAGGCAAGAGGGACAGAGGAAAACAACACATAACATAGGGAGTTTTGCTAAATAGATGACGGAAGAGAGTTTGGAAGAAATAATAAAAATAGAAAATTTATTAAGAGCTACGAAGGACAGGAAATTGTGGAGAGCCATGACTGGGGAAGGACACGAAGAAGAAGAAAAAAGAAGAGGAAGAAGAAGTAGTAATAGTCAGCAGCTTGGATTAACGATAAAAAAACAAACAAGCCTACTGCGAGATTTGAACTCACAGCCTTATCCTGGAGGAATTGACTTTTTCCTTACCGATTTGGTGGTGTGACAGCTCCCTTACTGATTTTGCTATAAAGACTCATGTGATATAGCTATCTTCCGTATTTATACGATTGATATGACGTCGTTGTCTATTTTGTTTTCCTCCGGTAATATTAAATGTAGCTATCTCCACTGGTTTGCAAAAAATAAATAAATAAATCAATAAAAAAATTAGCATATCGTAATGAAAAAATACCTCAAACTTAATAAAAATAAGATTTTACCATGGAAATCTTTATGTTATTATTAAGAGGAAAGACCAGAAGAACTTTTCATTATTAAATTATATTTTATCAACCTTTTTAGAACGTTCGAAATTTTGGTTAAAAACATTTTCCCCCTCAGCACAAGTGGCCAAAGATTAGTATAGGAAATTTTAGCGTCTTTGTTTTTTGCGGTGAAAAACACATTGATTTAGAAATTCTTGCAAAAATCAAGTAATTGTCGGACGTTAGTGAAACGTTCAAGACTTATTTTATAAAGGTTTTATTTTAGAAAAGCTTGGAAAAAATATTTTGTTTTTGTTTTTTTTTAACATCTGTTTCCCCCATGTATTTAATTTTATGAAATTTCGAGAAATTAAATTTTGTGCCATTTAAAGTTTATATTAGTAAAAAACAGGACTCATTGGGGAATTTAAATAATCAGTTTTATTTTGTAAAACACGAACACCAATTACCGAATATCTGTTCTGAATCTTAAAATACAAAAATGTAATAATACTAAGACGTTATTTGATTAGAAAAACTTTTAATTGCACTTATAAATAATATATATTTTAGACTATTATCTTAAAAAAAGAAATTTCGATGAATAATGAATTTTTACAAGAATTGTTTCCATTTTTTTAAAATTTAATAATTTATAAAGTTTTAAAGTTGTTAAATTTCTGCATTACTTTGTCACCGTCAGGTTATACCATTATTAAGTAAAAACTATATTTACTAATCATAAATGGAAAAGCTTAGTACAATTCATTGAACACCAATATTTTAAAAACAATTTTTAATTTATTTTATGTGTATAATTGTGCCAATTTTTGCTAATACGGACTTCTATACACGAGATTATCAGAAAATAAGAGCGATAATTATAGTACATTTAAAGCTAAAGTACTTAAAATCAATTAAACATTACATTACGGAGAATATTCTCCTAAATTTTTATGATTAATAAATGTTTACAAGTTATATAAAAATGTGCGTTTAGGCTATATTCCACGAATAAATTTTACAGATATATCCTCCGTATAAATACACTAGAAAATCTTCCGTCTGTCGTTCAAGCTGTCATCCTGCTAACATCTAAGAATAAACATCTATCGCCGCGTCCAAAAAAATGCATTTCTGAAATATTTTAAACTTAAAGTAAGTAATATTTGTTTTAAATCAGATTAATTAAACTTTAGATCAGCAAATATTACTCAAATAAAGTTTCAGAAAAATACATTTTATTTTTGAAAGATTTTTTTGATAAAGAGAATTACATTGCGATGACGGGAGGCTAAAAATGGCGCTAAATTAGGTGTTATTGATTTAAAAAAAAAAATTCTTTACAGTCAATTTAAATTAGTTTTGAAATACAGCAAAATATTTTGATTATTGGAAATGTTAAATTTAATCTATTAGCTTTAAATTAAGGCTAAAATAAAAGAAAGACTTTTCATATTTAAAAATTCATTTTAAACCTACGGTATCGCGAATGTTTTGAGGTAACTAATTAAATGTAAAACTTGTAGTTGACGATAATTAATAATGCTGACAATAGTTCATTTTGTTCTATGCTTCCTTGATTCACATTACATTAACGAAACTTTCCATTTAAGCATTACACAGTTCGTTCCAATGTGATGTAAAATATTGCTTAACAATTAAATCGTTACAGAGAAAAATCTGTCTTGTATGTCTTTTTTTTATCGAGATCCGCCCTGATTTCAAGGATTATAAGATTTTGGTATTGGTGTCTGTCAAAAATACGCCCTGAAAAAAGATTTTGACAGTGGGTGGTTCATAAAAAAGGAATTCCAAAGAAATCATAACACATGTTATTAATTGCTTGTCCGTTTTATATTTATAGGGGAATACTGTAAGTTGAACATGTGTTGTAGTTTTAAACTCAATTAAAGAGCCATCATTATCATCCTTAAGTTATTGCCCACTGACGGTCTTTAAAAAGATTACATTCAACATGTATTGTCCGATCTTGACAGATGTGATCTGATATTGTGTTTTCACCGCGTGTGGTTAGCCTGGGCCATGTAGTGTTGTGTTGACATCAGTCCGGTTTACGAAATAGTATTTCATTGCCGATCACAAGACATCAAGCCACCCTCATGAAAACTGACTTTCTATTGTAATATTGGTTCTAAGATAACGTCAGTTCCGTTTAGTTTTTGTTCTTTCGCCTGTTGGCTATGAAAAAAACAACCGAGGGAAGATGAGGGGTGGTAAAAGCAGTCGGAGTGATAATGGATGTAACACACGTTCGATTCTGATTACTTTTAAAGATTTATCAATATTTGTAATAGGTTTTATCTGTGAATAAATATGTCGACACAAGAACTGGGCACTTAAAAAATATATTTTTTAAAGACACCGTATACACACACGAGAGACTGTGTATACACATATATATATATATAAATATATATATATATATATATATATATATATATATACGAAGAAATAATCACACATAGAATCAATCAGAAGTATTAATGCGATTATTGGCGACATCTATCGCTAGAAAACATAATATATGCATTAAAATACTGTTCATCCATAGTGCGAGTTGATCCTCATCGATAAACTTGTTGTCTGTAGTTTTCAGTTTATTTGATGTTAAAATGCTAGTACTTACGAATAGTCTTCTATTCATCATCAGGCATGTGTTTTTTTCCTTATAAAATCACAAACTTGAAGACGATACACTTGTATGTCGACCGAAAGATGTTTTTTGAATATCTGCTATTATTGACGGTTATGTAAGATGTCGGAACGTGCAAAGACGCAACGCTAAGTTTTTCAAAATTTTAAGTGAGAATTTTATTTAAATATTTTTTGTGATGTGTTAAATCCACGTATTCTATTTTTACAAGTGTATTCAGTTTTTATGTCATGAACTAAGTATATAGTTCAATAATATATATATATATATATATATATATATATATATTTCAAAATGTAAAAAACAATAAGAAAATTGTAATATTAGCCGACGCGTTTCGTCCAATGTGGACTTTTAAGGCAAAAACGAAATGAATTTATTAAAACAAAGTAACTATTAATAAATATTCATTTCGTTTTTGCCTTGAAAAAATCCACATTGGACGAAACGCGTCGACTAATATTATATTTTTCCTATCTTTTATATATATTTCATTAAATATTACGGACAAGGGAATTTTATTAATTTTTTATTTAGTTCTTCCAGCGTTCTTAAATTTTTCCGTTTGGTGGGAGTGAAAAAAAAAGTCTATATTGTCGATTGTC